CTAATCACACTTCTGTCCAGGGTACCACACAAGCAACTGTGGTCTTTCAAAGAGCACCGGAATCTCTCTGGGGGAATGGCTCAAGGGTTAAGTTGGCTCCTATGGAAACACAGGGCTGAGTGCCAGCAGCACCAGGGAGGCAAAGCCCCTCCCTGATGCAGAGCTGGGGCCAGCAGAGCAGGCGGGCAGGTCACTGTGTGAGCTTTACTCTGCAAAAACAGCTGAGGGAAACAGCAAGGAGGTCACACGTAGGTGTCTGCTGTCCTGAGGGTTTTATCAGGAAAAGGTGACCCATGTTGTTGACCCTGGGACGTGGTCAGGACCAGAGCACGACCCCCTGAGGCACAGGGAGGCAGACCCCAAGGCCGGAGTACGCAAAGGGTCAGAATTGTGTCTCCTGGTTTTCGAGTCTCAGAAATGTTGTTTTTGCTTTGAGTGAGTGAACGTAAGCCTGGCAGGGACCTGCTGAGCCGCTGGGGCCAGGAGGGGAGGTGGTGTCGCAGTAAAACCAGTTTGGTTTCTTGCTCCCACTACATGCTGAAAAGCTTTATTCTGACCCCCTGGACTTGGGTGGAGACCACCAGCCGCTTCCCGAGCAGCTGGGGAGGTGCTTTGGGCCACCTCTTGGCACAGTGATGGATAAAGAAGCTGCCACTCAATGGCCCAGCTTGGATGTGCCCCAGGCTGGGAGCAGCAGAGCCACCTCCAAAGCTGGCTCGGTGACAGGAGTGACCCACACCTGTAAGTCAGCTGGAGTCGGTGGTGAGCAAGTTGAAGGAGGGGGGGAGCCTGGTGGGACCAGGGCTGGGGTGCAGGGCGAGGGGGTGGCATCCACTGCTAGGCAGATGCTCTGCCATGTGTTTTCCATGCTCCTCCTCCCCAGGATGCGGGAAGTGGACCTGGGCTGCGGGAAGGCTCTGCTCATCAAGGAGAGCAGCGAGTTCCACGCCGTGGGACACAAGTGTCCCCACTATGGGGCTCCGCTGGTCAAAGGTCAGTCTGCATCGCACCCGAGGAGACTAACCAAGGGCATCAAAGTGCTGGCAAAAGACAGCCCAGTGTTCATCTGGCTGTGCTGCCAGGCATGGGGCAGTGCCGTGCTGCATGTCCAGCATCATCTTGGCATCTTCTTGCTGGGAGAAGGCATGGGCAGAAAGCTGGGGGTGCACAAACCTCCTGGGAGCACTTCACCGCAGGTCTGGGTTGCTGGTGACCCCAGCTTGCCACTGCTGGTCACAGGGCTGGGGCTTCTTTGGGTGACTTTGAAGAACAAAACAGCACAGGCACCATTAAATTTGGCTTCTGCTTCATTCTTCAGCTGGAGCTGAACCTCTCTTGGATGGCATGAAACAGCTGCAGCTCACTGTCCCCACGCAAAGCCCAGTTTTATGGAGCTTTTTATAGTGTTCTGTTTATCGGTTCCCAGCCACTGAGGAGTTAAAAAAATGTCTTAAAGGGAAAAAAAAATCACCTTATGATTTTTCAGGCCACTCAGTCTTAAGAAATAAACCACAAAACCACAGCTCCCTGTAAATCAAAATCCTGTTTGTGGGGGAAGGAGGAGGTTCTTTGGGCTGACAGGATCCTTTCAGTAGCAAAAAGAAATGTTGCTGGTGTTATTGATTGAAGTGGAATGAGGTACAGTGGTTTTCCATCTTGGCACTTAAAAATATGCATTCTAGCATTTTCTCAGCATGGGCTTCAAGCAGGTCCCTTTGCAGAGTCTGATTAATGGTAGCAGGCAGTGCTGGCCCAGCTGTGTGCTGGTGAAGTGCATCACCCAAACTGGGGGCAGGGGGCACTTTGCTGGAGGTGGGATCCTGGGCAAGACAGCAGAGCACCCTGCCAAGTGCCCTCTGGGCATTGCTGGCCCAGCAGCAGTGCTGGGTGCAGGCAGCCATGCTCTCAGCCCCTTGCCTGGGGCTAGCAGCCCATTGAGCAGGGCAGAAGAGCCCCACGCTGCTCCGGTGGCCAACTCAGGTGAGAGCCTGCCCACCTTTCAGAGACCTGTGGGCACATTCCTGAGACTGGCCGCTCGCCCAAGGATCTCATCAGGGAATACAGGATTTGCTGCAGAAGCAAGTGCAGGAGCTGCCCCTGTGTCCCCATGTGTGGTGGGTGATGAGATGTGGCACTACTGTGCCTCAGCAAGTGAAGGCACAAGCTCAGGACCAGTCCAGCATGGCCAAATTGTAGCTGTTTGCTCTTCCCCGGCATTGTGAGCCAGCTCTTTCAGGCAGGGAAAGCCAAAGTCCAAGGTAGCAGCCTCTGAGCAAACACTTACGAGGAGTAAACTTGTGGCTTTGGGCATGCCCCGTGCTTTCCTGGTGGTGTGCAGACTCCTTGCTGTGTCAGGATCTGTTCTGAAACACACTTGCTCTAAATAAGTGATGCTCTGCTTGAGGTGCTGCTTGCTCCGGGTGCTACTGGGGCTTGAGGTGACTATGAGACCCTGGAGACTTCAGCCCCAGGCCCTGTTGGAGAGCAAGATTGTATTCCAGGCAGAGCAGACAACTTTGGAGCTGTGCTCAGAGGCGCTGGAAGGGCACTGTCAGCAAGGGCATTTCACACGGGATCCCTCTATACAGGATTCAGTTGGTAACTGTGTTCACCCTCTGTCCCAAACGGCTGGACCAGTACCACGTGCAAGTTAAGAGAACTCCACATCAAGTAGCCAAGATGCTGTTGACCATCCAGGTCCACAACAGCTGTGATGTATCCTGCAGGAGAGGTGACACCTCTGGGTAAAGGAGTGTCATGGGGGACATGCTCGCAGAGTCTGAACTTTGAAGCTGCTCTGCACGGAGCAGCACAGCTCCTGCCGCTGCAGGAGGCCCTGGGCAGCAACCTTCAGCCTTCAGGTGGTCAGCTTCGCTCAGCAGTGACGTTCACATTGTGAAGAAGCTGAGGAGTCCACTATCACCGGGACAGCAGGAGGGAGACCTGGCCTCTGCCATCCCTGCCCTGGCCAGGTCATGGCAGCTCGATCTCAGTGGGCTGCAGGCAGGGGTGGGAGGCAGCTGCAAGGCAACACCAACTCTGCTCTGCCATGTTTCCTGCAGGGGTTTTGTCCAAAGGAAGAGTCCGCTGTCCCTGGCATGGAGCTTGCTTCAACATCAGCACAGGTGACATAGAGGACTTTCCTGGCTTGGACAGCTTACCCAGGTTCCAGGTGAGACCTTCATTCTTGCAGCAGCAGAGGAAATCACAGAATCACAGCATGGTTTGGGTTGGAAGGGACCTTTAGAGATAACCTAGTCCAACTCCCTGACGTGGGCAGGGACATCTTTCACTAGATCAGGTTGCTCAAAGCTGCACCCAACCTGACCTTGAACACTTCCAGGGATGGGGCATCCACAGCGTCTCTGGGCAACCTGTTCCAGTGTCTCACCACCCTCATTGTAAATTGTAAAACATTTCTTCCTTATGTCCAAGCTAAATCTACCCTCTCTTAGTTTAAAAGCATTACCCCTTGTCCTGTCCCTACAGGCCCTACTAAAAAGTCTGTCCTCATCTTTCTTATAAGCCCCTTATAAGTCCTTTCTTATAAGCCCCATTTAAGTATCAAAAGGCCACAATAAGGTCTCCCTGGAGCCTTCTCTTCTCCAGGCTGAACAACCCCAACTCTCTCAGCCTTTCCTCATAGCAGAGGTGTTCCATCTCTCTGATCATTTTTGTGGCCCTCCTCTGGACCCGCTCCAACAGGTCTATGTCCTTCTTGTACTGAGGACCCCAAAGCTGGACACAGTGCTCCAGGTGGGGTCTCACCAGAGCAGAGCAGAGGAGCAGAATCACCTCCCCCAACTTGCTGGCTATGCTGCTTTTGATGCAGTTGGTTTTCTGGGCTGCGAGTACACATTGCTGGCTCATTTCCAATTTTTTACCCACCAGTATCCCCAAGTCCTCCTCCTCAGAGCTGGTCTCAATCCATCCATCCCCCAGCCTGTATTGATACCGGGGATTGCCCTGACCCAGACGCAGGACCCTGCCCTTGGCCTTGTTTAACTTCATGAGTTTCACATGGGCCCACATCTCGAGCTTGTCCAGGTCCCTCTGAATGACATCCCGTCCCTCTAGAGTATGAACTGCACCACTCAGCTTGGTATCATCTGCAAAATGGCGCTTTGCATTGGGATAAGCATGCTCTTTGAAGGTATGGAGCATTTTCTAAGAATATGCTGGGGGGCCAGTGAGAGCAGCACCTCACCCAGCTCTCTGTCACTGACGGGCATCAGACACCTCCTGGGAACCTGAAGGTGGAGGTGCACCGTCTGGGAGGTCTCTTGAGCAGGAGTGAGGTGGGACTGAGAAACTAGCTGTAAGCCTGAGATAGAAATCAGGTTTTACACTGACCATCGGTGCATGGTTGATATGAGACAGGAAAAATCGCACAGCCTCGAGCTGGGGCAAGCCCTGCTGTGGCCTGAGCCGCTCTCACAGGAGACCTGGTGAGATCAGTGCTCTGTTCGTTAGTTGTTGCACAGAGGGAGTAATCACCCTTTTCACATTGGAGGCACTCACTGTCCTGCAAACCGCTGCTGTTCTGTCACCCTCAGGTGAAGATTGAGAAGGAGAAGGTGTACATCCGAGCAAGCAAGCAGGTGAGGGGCCACTGGCAACCCTAAATCAAGGCCCATGCTTTTGCCTGTTGCTCTGTGTGCATGGGAGTGGGGTGAAATGCTTTTCTTTGGGCCCTCTGGCAGGGGAAGCAGTGCCTGAACAGAAGGATGCATGAGCATCCAACATGGGTAAACCAAAGGCCCACCTAGCCTGGTCCTGTCTCAAGCAACAGCCCGAAGCTTGTACAGAGTCACGAGTGGAGCAGGGCAAAGGTGTTGTGTCCCCCTCCGGTCCTGCCTGGGCTCCCCCAGCCTCCCTGCAGCTGTTGGACACCTGAGCTGGGGTGTCCATGGATTCAGGAGGTCTTACTATGTGTTTGTCCTGAACTTGTCCTATGTTTCCTTAAGCTCATAGCAACTTATAATTTAGTTGGCCCATGGAAACAGGCCTCTTCTACCAGCCTTTTGGCCTTGTCTGCGGGGTCTGAATGTGGCATGGCAATGACAGAGATCATCTGTGCTCCCTCTTGAGCCCAGACATCAGCTCCTTTTGCTGGAGAAGAACCTGGTGCATGGGCAGGGAGGGCTCTCATCCCACCAGATAGGATGCAGAATGAAGCCCGTTCAAGCCACTGCCATCTTTCTTTCCATGAAAAGCTTTCTTCTGACGCATATTTGCATGTATGCATGAGTGAATCCAGTGGCTCAGAACCAGCCGGACCCTTACAGCACTTGGGTTAGATCCGGAAAGGTCACCTGAATGGCAGCACTTCTACTCCAGCTGATTTGGGTGGGATGTGATGAGGAAGGCTGAGCCTGTTCCCTCTATCAGAAACGGATTTTGGCCTCCAGTGGCTGCCAAGAGGGTGTCTGTGCAGCAGGGCTACAGTGGCATAGGTCCTTGGGTGTGCTCTGGTAGGTTGAACAAGTCCATCAGCTTCTTTGGATATCAGAGGTATACCAGCTCTGCTCAGGCACAGCATAAAGTTACTGATAGGACTTCTGCATTTCCATCTCACCGGTGGGTTGCAGAATTGCACAATGACACACTTGAGCTGCTTTTTCAATTTTGGTTTCCCAGCTCTGTGTACCTGGATGAATTTGCAGAAGTCGATGGATTTATTTTTCTTTTGTACCTTGTAACGGGGTAGTGCACTGGATGGTGGAAAAGTATTTGGATGAGCATGGGTTTGGAGTCCTTGTTGGGTACAAGGGTGCAGTTGTTCCCTTTCTATCCAAGCTGTTTTATGACAATAGTGTAGTTGTCCCCATTCCTGCCTGGCTACCCAGCTTAAAGCTGAGAAAAGATAATGACTTTTCTTCTTGTTGGTGCCATAGGCCCTTCAGACACAGAGGAGGACAAAGATGATGGCAAAGTGCATCTCCTTGAGCAACTATAACCTGAGCAGTACCAACGTGCTGATCATCGGTGCAGGTATCGGGTGGCATGTGCTGGGACTGGTGTGTGTCCCCTCCTGGGCGGGTGTGTGGAGAGCAGGGTGTCTGTGTGCCCTGAACCTTCTGTCACGCCTCCTGTGTCCCTCCCTGTGCAAGGGGTCAGACCAGAGGGTCTTCCTGAGCCTTTTTGTCCTACACACTAATGGTCCAAAGGTGCCCTCTGCCTCTGGTCTGTGGAACTTTGTAGTTCCCTGTCACAGTCCTTTGTAGCGGGTGCCCTGAACCCTCTTCCCTCTACATCCTCCCCAGATACATCAGTAACCCCTGATTTCCACAACTGATAAGTGTAAAGTCCTCTCAGGTGTTCCTGTGATGCGGATACACCTTCTCCTCTTGGAGCCTGCACAGCTCTGTCTCATCCCATTACAGCTGCCTGCAGCTCCAAAGCTCTCACCTCAAGGTGCTTCTCTGAAGATAAATTCTTCCATCTTCTGAGAAAATATCAAATGCCTGCATGCAATAACAAAACTGCCAAACTATCTTTTTTTATCTCTTGTCCCAGCTCCATTTGTGTAATGCGGTTTTTGTAGAAAGCTTGATGGAGTGAATCCCATCTACTGAGTTTGCCTGTTTCTGGAATGGTTGGATGATGGGCTGGACCATGTCGTGGTGAAATGGAGGGTGGGAGGACACAAGCTGTCCAGTGTTGGACCTGGGGCTGGGAGGGAACAGCTGCTCCTGGCACATGGGTTGTTCGTACTTGATTACAGCCCCCAGGTCACCAGATCCAAGCTGTGGAAATGGGGAGCACGCTGCAATCTTCTGCCATCTAAGTTGCAGCTCACAGCCTGAGCGGAGGGGAAAACCAGCCTGGTTGGCTTTTCCCTTGCTGCTGGGTAACATTTTTCCCTTCCTTGTGCCTCTGCTGTTTGTTGACTGAAAGCCAGGGTGTGACACCGCTGCTCCCCAAGGTCAGCTGGGCTGTCCTGGTGTGCGGCAGGGCTGGACAGTCATCAAAGTCCTCAGCGAGGTCACTCCACGGGCAATGTTAGCCATTGCTGAAGGAACTTTCTCAGGCTTGACCAGCTAAATTTACAGGCCTATTAAAGACCGAGGTCTGTTCTGGTGGATGATAAAGGAGATTTCAAAGCTGGAATTGTAATGAAGAAATGTTGGGAAGAGACTAGCCATCCAGCCCTGCATCGAGGACCAAGATCCAGCCATGCCCAGCAGAGCTGAGGGCAAGCGACCGCAGCCCCTCGCTCATGTGAAGGTCATCCTGGCATCAGTGCAGCATCAGTCTTGACTCAGCATGCTCCAGGCAGTATACACGGGATGTCCACCCACCTGTCTCTTCTTCCACTGTCCTCCACCTCCATCAACAGGAGCGCTTTGTTGACGGACCAAACAATGATACTGTCCAGGTCCATCTTCTTTCATTGGTATTACAGAAACTGTGGCCCTTACAACACTCATCATTGAGTGAGGCTTCCTTGGTTGAGAAGAGAGTCAGGACTTCCCACTTGAGCTCTCAAGTCTCACCAATTTGGCCAGGGAAGAAGGGACATGCCCATCAGGCTGCCTGGCTGCAGGGGGGACAGCATGCCCCAAGGCAGCTTTTTGTTTGATTTAGCCTTTTTTCTGTGTTTAAAAACAAGGAAACAAAAAAACCTCAAAGAAATTGCATGCAAAATCCTCTACAGTGAAGCATGCAACCAACACTTCAGCCATGAAGAAGGGAGGACTCCCTGCACTCCATGTTCAGGAGTGTGCAGGAGCTGAGTGTGCAGAGGGGAAGCTGCAAGACTCTTTCCTTACTAGGGGAGTGCAAGGGTCTGAGCGGCCGCCCATGCCCTTGCACTTGTGAAAGGTGTGTAGGTGTTGACAGCACTCCTCAGGTGAGCTCTTTGTAGGTTTGTGTGAGTTAAGGGAAAGACAAGTCCTGCAGAGGATTAATGTCATGCTCCACAGACAGAAGGTCCCTCCTCCTGCCTGGGGCACCCACCCCGACCGGCTTCTTGTGCAAGCTGTTTGACTTGTGAAGGGCCGTGAAGTAAGGCCAGGGCTAGTGGACATGGTGATTTTGGAGTCAGCCCTGGTGGGGTTTAGGAGCAAAGGGTTCAGACCTTCAAATGCCCCATTACGCATGGCCGCCGGTCTTCCTTCTCCCTCCCCTCCCAGGGGCAGCTGGACTGGTCTGTGCAGAGACCTTGCGCCAGGAGGGTTTCTCGGACAGGATTGTGATGTGCACGATGGACAGACACTTGCCCTACGACAGACCAAAGCTCAGTAAGGTTTGTATCACTTTGGGTATGTCACATTCCTCCCATTTTAAAATTTGCCCTAGGACCTTTCCCCACTGTTATTCATTGCAGCAGCATGTTTCTTCTTCCTTATTCGTCCTGTCTCTGTTTTCCCTTGAATTTTCTTTTCTGTTGGTGACTGAAATATGAAACACAAAAGAAGAGTTGTTCAAACTCTGAACTACGAGTACTCCAGCACAGAAACAAGGGCATTCTTCATAGGTCTAGCAATAGCTGTCTTGGCCAGCTCATACCTGGATGGATCTTCTTCTTATTATGTTTCCGGATCAAAATCCGTAGGGCAATGAAATGGGGCATGTGAAAAAATTGTATTATGTAGCAGGTTTTTTATTAGTGCATGGTTCTTACTGCCCAGTGATGCTCCAAGCCATAATTATTATGATTATCAGTCATCATCACAGCTTGGTAACTTGATCACAGTGCAAAGATCACTTTTTCTGGCACACATTCCGTTTTGCATTCCAATTTATAGACACAGGATGATCTGCTAATCACATTTTTTCTTACTGATTCCTGAGCCTCACTTGATATCAGACAGCAACTCAGGTTGGACAGCAGCATTTGATCTTGAAGCTTGGAGATAACATAAGAACAGGCGATACAGGTATTCCCCTTTATGTCAGGGATGCTTACCTGTGGGGGCTGGTATTCTACAATCACAGCATCTAACTCTGCTTCCAGCCCCAAGGCAAAGTGATTTTCAAAGGAAGGCAAATATGCATGTGGCTTTTTGAGAGCATTCAAGCCATTTCTGTGCTCGGACAAGACCTGCTTGGGGTGAGGAGCAGCTGGCTGAAACCTGCATCCAAAAGTCACAGAGGTTGTGCTGGGGAGCTCGGAGAAGCTCGCAGAAGCTCGCGGTCCCTGTCCCAGCCAGGCAGCTCTCCGAAACACTTATCCCCGCTGTGCGAGTCTTAGACTGCCTTTTCCAGTCTCCAGTAAATAGTAAGAACATCTCACATGCCTGAGATGTTATGCATGGTTTGTTAAACTCTCCACTAACACCTCTGGCTGTAGTTGCTATTGGAAGGTGCACAAAGCCCATGGAAGACAAGGCAGAATTTTCAGGAACAGGCTAGAAAAAAAGGGGATTTTTCTTAATACTATTGTGAGTGGGACTAACCCTGGAAAGAGTCATTAGAGGAGGAGCACATAAAGCTGTAAGCAGCAGACTTCTTGCCTCCTGAAACTGCAGCATTGCCCTTCCTCTGCCTTGCTGAATGTCTGTTATCAATCTGTCCTGAGGTCCCACCAGACTGTTCCTCTTTGTTCCCTTTGGACCATGACCTGCTCCCTGGTGTGCTGCAATGTCCCCGTGACCATCTCCAGAGCACTGAGCAGCAGCAAAACCCGTGGTGGTTGTGCACTGCTCTGCGCTGCCTTCCTTGCACACCAGCATGGAGGCCACCGCTCCCAAGCCGTGGGGTCAGACGTTCCTCTCTGTAAACACTGGGTGTTTAAAGAATTTGCGGTAAAACCTGTATGACCCTGCACCTGCCTCAAGTCCTAAGATAAGGGTCTCTTCTGAGCACAGCGTTACCTGAAGTCATGGTAAGGGAGTGTCCTGCAGGGCTCATCCCAGCCCCTCACCGAGCTACCTCCAGGGAGGAGGACCTTGCACATCCATCCCTGGGGGCAGATGCTGAAGCCCTTGTTTCCTGCATCCCCTGTCCCTCTTGGGTCAAGCCCAAACGTCATGCCTGTGTGGCACGGGTAGGTGATGCTGCTGCTCAGCACTGTGTGGTATGTTGCAGGGCTTGACTGTGGCATGTGTGTGGCCATGCCCATCCCTGCTATGCTGCAGGCAGGGAGGGATGCCCTGGAGCATGGAGCAACCTGCACGCAGGTCACTTGGTGCTCAGCTTGTCCTCAGCCTATGTGTCCACAGAGTTAGGAGGACAGATGAACTTGGGCTCAAATGTGAGCTTAACCCTGTGTGTAAAGATGACATAGGTTTCACCCAAGTGACCAGGGAAGGCTGGGAAGAGCAAGAACCTTTATCTTGCAGCTAAAGATGAGCAGATATGGGCCACGTGCCCCTGCTTCAGCTTTTGAGGGAACTTGTGCTGCATAACTTGGGTGCTTTTGAAAGTGTTGCCCTTGCTGTGTTAATGCTGATTAGTTCTTATTGCTCTTTTAGCTTCCATTTCCCCTGGAAACTGGTTGTTTTCCAATTAATGGGACTTTTATTTTGCTCCTATGAACTTGTGTGTGTTATGAGGAGCTGCAGTTAGAGCTGCTTTGCAGACACTCAGAAGCACTTGCTGTGGTCCTGCCTTAGCCGGTCAGTGCCGTCCCCATGCCAAGCAGGCAGAGAAGGAACCCGACCCCAGACCAGCATCTTGTGATGACTTTTACTTGAACGGGCTTTGATTCCAGCCCCAGTAGAGCAAGTCTCTTAACCCATGCTGTAAGGACTGACTTCAGACTACCTCTGGCCTGTGCTGGTAACAGGCATTTCTCCACTCGCCTGTTCAACCCACAGCGGTTGACAGAAAAATGGCTTTTTTTGCAGTCGATGGATTCCCACCCGGAGCAGATCGCCCTGCGCCCCAAGGAGTTCTTCCGCACCTACGACATCGAAGTCCTGACTGAAATGCAGGTAAGGAGAGTCCTATGTGTACCTGCAGGCCATCTTCTGCAAGTACTGGCGTACAAAGGCTGCGTTTAGGAAATGTGGCAGCTGTCTCTGTTCTTGGCTCACTGGATGCCATTGCAGAAATGCTGGATCTCCCCCAGCCCCCCTGTTTTATGCCCCAGGGCTCAGGTTGCCTGTGGTTGTTCAAAAGCATGGTTAATGCAATTCCTCCTGTGGCAGGAAGGACACCCTGTGCAGACTCCATGGTGACCATCATTTCTTACCTGCCATTTGCAAGCATCGTCACATGGATCTGGGGTGACCAGCTGACCTCTGATTGGGATAATCAGCCTTCAAGCAGTGCAGACAGTGATGGTTTAAAAATTTCTCCCCATTATTTTTTTTATACTGGTAGATCTTGAAGGATTTATGAAAAGGCAACTAGGGATATTTAAGGTCTGGGCTGGCTAGCTGTGGACAGGAACACAGGGGACTAAAACCTAACAGACAAGTTTGTTGGGCTGGGAGCTTAGTGAATGTCTGGGATTTCATCCCTTAACATTATTTAGGAATGATTTCAGGTTGCGGCTGTGGATATCAAGAACAAGACAGCTGTGTTCAAGGATGGATTTAAGATGGAATACAACAAGCTGCTGATAGCCACTGGAAACACGTAAGCTACGAACAAACATTTTACAGATCAAGAGAAACTGTTTTATCAGAGAATGTGAGGAGCTTGTGCCTGGGGATAAGGGGTCAAATATGGTGGTTGAATTCAGACACTGAATTTGTTTGCAATAGTGTTTGCAGAAAAGGCAAGGAACACCTATTGGATATGTCTGTATATCTGTATCTATCTCTCTATCTCTATAGAAATATCTCTATCTCCATATATCAATATATCTCTGTATCTCTATCTCATCATATATATATCATATATATATCATATATATCTCTATAAAGATGTGCTGGGTATATCTGCTCAGCCAAAGCTGAAAAGCCTCTGTGTCACCCAAGGGTCACCCAGAAAGCAGGTAACCACCAGACATGGGGGCTGGCAGGACGGCTGTGGGATTTGCTACTTGGGGTGTTTCATGGTCAGCATCAAGGTCAAAAGGGTGTTAACAAAAAGTACCCACTGAAGCAGTCAGGGTGCGTGGGTTGTTTGATGTTAAAGAAACTGGCAGAAAACTGAGATTTGAAAAGGTGGAGGAATTTTCCAGCAGCACCCTAACACCGTGCTGTTCCCTGGGGGCTGGCTTGAGAGTGTATGGGAGAGACTCAGGAGATTCGCACTGAGTTCATCATCTCAGAATATTAAAATTAATGCTCAGGACCTTGAACATACTGTCTTTAACAAAGGCCTCCAAAATGGAAGTATCCTGAATTTTTTTTTTGAGAGGTCATTTTTGCCACGTTTCTCTTCTTTTCACCCCTCAATAATACTCAACCCTGACAATCAGATAATTAATCCATCTGAATTTCCATCTTTCATTTCCTGTCAACCTTTAAGATCTTTCTCGACAATGAAAGCTTAATGCTTCTCTGTTGCAGCCTTAATTAGGTGTTGCCGTTGCCCCAGCCTAACAGACCCTTTGGGAGGCTTGCCCCCAGGAGGGAGGTTTTCAAGACTGAAACCTGGTCCAGCCATAGGGAAAGGCAGTAGCGATGTGCCTGTCCTGCTCTGCCCAGCTGTTGCTGGGGCACAGAGCATCGCCTGAGACCGGCATCGTCCCTAGCACCCTGGAAGTAGCGGGTCAGTTTGTTTTCAATAGGAGATTTGTCAAAATTGGCACTCTGAGATGAAAATGAGGCATCCTGGCTCCCTTTTCTTGTGCTCCTAACACCAAGGCACAAAACGAAGTAGGAGAAATGCAGCCCCTGCAAAATTTATCATCCGGGGAAGGGATGCTGTAGAACAGCCAGAGCGGGAATTCCTGTCGCAACCCTGGGTGCCATCAATAACAGCAACAGCCCCACCGAGTGATAACGGCTGGTGCTGGGGTGTGCAAGCGCCGCAGCCAAAATGCCCTCTGCACCAGCTGCCTAACTAGGTTCAACAGAGGATTAAGCCTTTGGCAATAATTTCAAAATCCTTATGCACAAGCTCCAGGTACACCAGGTAAATGTTTTTAAGGTACCTAAATTATTTAGGATCATCAGCCCCATTTCCAAATGTGAGTCGGGTATGCTGGGGCCAGATATTTAAAAATATATAGGCTCTAGTAAGTGCATGGGGAGGACATGATTAAACTGCTACAGCATCAGCAGTGTGCCCCTAGGAATGGGTAGTGGAACCTGCATCTGCAGAGGCTTATGAAACTTTCAAAATCTGGCTCCAAAGCGTCTGCTGGAGGACAGAGTGAGTTTTCTGTGTCCCATTAAGCTTCTAAAAATTTTACAACATGCCAGCAGTTAAGCACAAGGTTGCAAAGCAGTACTTGTCCTGCGCTGTGCTGCATTGCCCCAGAAGGGAGCTCACCCCAGCCCCACACGTACACAGGTCCATGGATGGGGTCGGGGGCGGCTGCTGAGCAGCCCCTGTTGTGCTGGCATTTGCAGTCATGCTGTGGTTGTTGTCCACCAGCATTTGGGTTTTTCCATGCCATGTCTCCAGCCCAGAGAACGGTGAAAAAAGGAAAGGCTGAGATGCTGCTGGAGCCCCGGAAAGGGTGTCTGCAGTCCCAATTGCCACCACAGGGTCAAGAAAAGCACCTGTATCGCCCTCAATATGTGTTTTTCAGGCCTAAAGCTCTCAGCTGCAAAGGCAAGGAGGTGGAAAATGTTTTCAACATCCGGACACCTGAAGATGCGAACCGTGTCGTGAAGCTGGCCACGAGCAAGAACGTGGTTATCGTGGGAGCATCCTTCCTGGGTGAGCGCTTGCTCTGTGGGTGTCTGTGTCCCAGCTGTCCACATCTTCCTGCAGACAGTCCCAGTCCCTCGCCCAGTTTGTCACTGCCCAGTTAGAGGTAACCCCCCCTCCCAAACTGGACCTTCGGGTAGTTCAACCTCCAGCTCCAGGTGGGTGGTAAGGACATCTCCTTGCTGAAGAAATTGATTTTACTGAAGAGGCTGGGCCGTTCAGCTTGCATATACATAGATATTGCTGTCCCAGTCTGAAAAGCATATGGCAACTCCAGTACTGGTGCTCGAGTGGTTTCAAATCCGCTGTGTCTAGATTTGGCTTCAGATGGGAGTGTCCTGTTTGTAGGTGAAAGCCTGTGGGTTTATTTCTCTTTTACATTTTAGCAGTGTGGTAAATTTTTAAAATACACAAGAAAAATCTTATAGTTTCTTTGATGGTTCTTCTTTTTGCTTGATATGGTTCTAACAAAATTATTGTGGGTCCTGCAAGCCTTAATCATAAATGGTTATTAGTCAGGGAATTTATTATAAAATGTTCAGTAGTTGTTTTTCTTCTTTTTTCAAAATATTCCTGTTTTAATGGTTCAATCAATCCCATCTTCAGAAAAGCATGGAGGGGGGGGGAATTGCAAACTGCAGGTCATTGAAAAGATCCGTTTTCAAAAAAAACCCCATAGATGATAGAAAAGGTCTTGGTGAAGGTTCCCATGCAATTGCCAGCACCAAAATTGTCCTGTTCTGATCAGAGAAAACAGCTAGTCAAAAGGGCTGTTTTCAGACTGCAGCTCATTACCTCTGTTGAGACAGTCCCAGCTGTAACAGGAAGGTTTCCCTCATCTGAGGTCCATTGCTCCAAGCGCTATGGCTTCCCAGGGCACTTATCATGGCCGGTTCCTCCCTTCGGTCTTTGAAACCCGCATCTAAGAACAAATTGCCATAAATCATAAATCTCACCTGAAATGGTGTGGCCCCTTGTGGCCGCCAGGTCTGGTGGCACCCCAGATCTCCTAGTAGAGCAGCTCTAACCTCCCCAGCCAGGAGCGGGCAAGGCTGCTCCGCCTCTGCAGCCAGCACCAGGGACGCAGGGCAGTGCCGGGGGGGGGGTACCTGCAGCTGCTCAGACCTGCTTCTGTTCCCCAGGGATGGAGGTGGCTGCCTACCTTGCGGAGAGGGCCCACTCGGTGTCCCTGGTGGAGCTGGAGGAAGTCCCCTTCAAGAAGTTCTTTGGGGAGAGGGTTGGCCGCGCTGTCATGAAGGTGACCTCACTTTTCCATCCGGGGGGTGGTTTTGGTGACAGAGCAGGTTCTGCTTGTTTCACTTGTTGCACTAATTAATTTGTTATTTGACATTTATTGATTAAGCTGTGATAGCTGCAGTCACTAGAAAGAAAGAACAAGCTGCGTCTTCCCTCTTGTGGTCCATGTGCTGTAGAGCACCTTCTTCTGGACACGTGTTGGGGACGGAGGTGGTGCCGACCGCCTTTGCAGCATGGGTCGAGGCGAGTCGGGAGGGTGGGCAGGGCAGTGCAGGGGGCACAGGGACATGAGGAGCAGGGGTGGTTTGGGGTGCTGATGTCCCCTGCTCTGTCCCATATCCCCTCTCCAGATGTTCGAGAGCAACAGGGTGAAGTTCTACATGCAGACAGAGGTGTCGGAGCTGCGGGAGCAGGAGGGCAAGGTAGGGTGCAGGCAGGGGCTCCCTGGGGCACTGCAGTGGCATCCCCCCAGGGCTGCCGTTCCCTTCACCACTGGGGTTTTGCCCTCTACTCTTTCCTAGCCCCTGAAATTCATATTCCTGGATTTAGTCCCCAGGAGCAACTGTGCTCCTGTGTGGTGCGTGAGGTGGATTCATTGCTCCCACCCTCCTCGTGCTGCCATTATAAGGAATTATGGTCAACTTGCATGTCAAAAATGAAGCGAGCTGCCAGCTTGGCTTGCTGCTGCTATAGTTTTTTTGTTTGGTTATTTTTTGTCCCTAAAATAACCGTGATGTCCCCCTGTGTCTCATGCAGCTGAAGGAGGTTGTGCTGAAGAGCGGGAAGGTCCTGCGCGCCGATGTGTGTGTTGTTGGTATTGGTAAGGGGCTGTTGCTGCAGATGCAGAGCCCAGCGGGCTGGCGGGGCTTTGCTCGGCAGAGGAGAAGCTGGAGGGGACGTGGCAGCAACGGGTACCTGGGGCTGGGTAGCTGGGGGTGCTGGCAGTGATGTGCCAGCCCCGCTCAGCTGCCACACATGAGTCTGTGTAATGAAGCTGAAAAAGGCCTATCTAGAGCCTCCACCCCAAAATGCAACTGAAAATATATTTGGAAAATAGTAATGGTTTTGTTTTTTCCAGAAAAAAAAAAAAATTCAAACCAATTGTGCAAATTGCTTTTTTTAAAGCCTCCCCAAAATGGATTTTTTTCCTCTGTTTTTTTATTTAGGGGCTGGGTAGCTGGGGGTGCTGGCAGTGATGTGCCAGCCCCGCTCAGCTGCCACACATGAGTCTGTGTAATGAAGCTGAAAAAGGCCTATCTAGAGCCTCCACCCCAAAATGCAACTGAAAATATATTTGGAAAATAGTAATGGTTTTGTTTTTTCCAGAAAAAAAAAAAATTCAAACCAATTTCGTGCAAATTGCTTTTTTTAAAGCCTCCCCAAAATGGATTTTTTTCCTCTGTTTTTTTATTTATTTATTTATTTTTTGCATGCCTGCCACTGCCATAGAAGAGGGTATTTTTCTCCTTTACACTTGGGGGGAAAAAAAATCCCCTTCTCACTCTGTAACTTTTCAAAATGTTGCCGACTGTAAGAATCACAGAATTAGTTTGATTCTGCTTTTGTTGTTTTATTGACTACTCCAATTTGTGATGGCTAGAGGAAAAAAAGATCCAAAAAGGAAAATGAAGGCTGAAGAAAAGGTACAGATTGTGGGGGGAGGGCAGAGGAGCCCTGTCTGGAAACCCAAGGGCTCCCTTTTAAATATATTTTTTTCAAAATATCTATAAAAGAGAAGTGGGTTGAAAATTATCTTCAAGCATTAGAAAAAGGTGGTGGGCAGATTACAGCAGTGCACTGATGGCTTGGAGAGTGGTAGGGACCCCAGGGATGTGGAGGGTGAGGTAGTGGGAGGAGTGGGGGCTCTGTAGGGTGCCTGGCTCTGCAGGGTGCCTGGCTCTGCTCCCTGCTCCTGGAGCAGCCTGCTGCCTTTCCCTTGGGGCAGACGGCTTGTCCGGGCAGGGGGAAGATCCACTGGCCTTGGGGTCAGCCCCCTGGGGCTGTGGGGATGCCCAGCTACTGCGCCAGCAGCCCTTGCCTTCCCCCACAGGTGCAGTCCCAGCGACGGGCTTTCTCAAGCAGAGTGGCATCAACATCGACTCCAAAGGTTTCATCGTGGTCAACAAGGTGAGCCTGGGCAGCAGCCCCTCCCAGGAGCTGAGTCTGCTCTCCTCTGAAATGAGCTTCTCTGGGGCTCCAAACTGCTGTTGCAGGGGTATTTCATCCACCGAGATGCTGAGGTGCTGGGAGCATCACCTGGGACCCCCCTGCAAGTGAGGGGTTTGCAGATCCCATCCATGGATGCTGTGGCTTGGGTCCAGCTCTGAGCTGTCCTGGAATGGTGTGGATATTATGGGGGGAAAGAAATGGAGAAAGATCCACCTTTTCAAGGATCCCAAAGGATCTCATCTTTCCTCCCCACCACCTGTGACTCCCATGGGAGCAGTGTTGGTGCTGATGGGTGGTGTGTGCCATGAGCAAGGAGTGTGTCTGGGGGCTGGGGCTCATTGCCACCCACTCCTGCGCTCATTGCTCATACGTGCAATAAGCCAGGCTCTATTTGCAAACACCAACAGACCCCAGTCTTCTAAGAGGGGCTCCAGGACACCAGTCCATGTCTCTTTTTACTGGTAACCCACTGGCAGAAGGATGCTGTAGGTCCCTGCCTGCATGGTCTGCTTTGAAAGTGAAGAACACTAAATCAAATCCCATCTGGGGGTCCCTCCCCTGAGTAGAGGTTGTCCATTTGCTCCTGGGGACCGTGGCTGCTCCTGTTTCTCTTCG